TTAGCAGTTAGGAAAAAGTTGTGTCTATGCTGAATCCAAAGTCGGGGTTGCAGGTAGAAGAGAGACATGAGCAGATAAGTAGAGATGGAGCAAGGACAAGAAGGGCGACAGAGGGAGACGAAGGGAGAACATGAAAGGGGTAAGCAAAACAAGGAGACTGTGAATAGCAAGTCGGAACAGAAGAAAAACTGAATAAGTGATAAAAAGACCTAAGAATAGGAGAAAATAAGTGAGCTGGACTGAATGCCAGGCCACAGAGTACACGAGAATGGGCAACTGAGCTATAAGCTCCCCATGTCATAACAGGGCAGGGTGCAGTGTGGGTAAAAACATGGAAGGATGGAATCAGGCTCTAAACTTGATGTTGAGCCCTGGAGGCAGTAGGGCCCTTAAGCGGAAAATGAGATGTTATTCTTCAAGCTTGCGCTGAGGCTCACTGGAACACTGCATCAGGCCTGTGACAGAAATGTTGGCATGGGAACACAGCGGTGTGTTGAAGTGGCAGGCAACTGGAAGCTCGGGGTCATTTTATAAACAGAACATAGGTATTCTGCAAAGCAGTCACCCTGTCTGTGCTTCATCTCTGTAATGTATAGGAGTCCACACAGTGAACAGCAAACACAGCAGACTGGATTGAATAAAGCACAAACAAATTGCTGCTTCACCAGGAAGGTATGTCTGGAGCCTTGGATGGTGAGAAGGGAGGAAGTTAAAGGGTAAGTATTACACATTCTGTGGTGCTGTGGTGTATTCACAGATGCTGTGGGCGTATGAGGAGATGTTGGGAATGGAGGAGAAATGAACCAGAGTTTTCCAATGGGAACAGTCCCTGCAGAATGCTGACAAGGGAGGAGACAGGAATGCATGTCTGGTCTTGGCATATTTATAAAGATGATGGGCGTGCGACTTACAGTGTTTTGGATGTAGAGGCTGGTAGGGTGGTAAGTGAGAGGGAAGGGAATGGTGACAGCAGAAATGTAGGAGATGGTTCTCAGCTGTGTTCAACCTCTGTTGACCACGGTAGTGGGGAATCCTCAGCGGAGGAAAAAGGTGAACATTCGAGGCCCCTGTGGAAGGTAGCATTGTCAGAACAGATGCGACAGAGACAACGAACTTGGGAAAATGGGATGTCATTCTTACAAGAAACAGGGAGTGAGGATGTGTAGTTGAGGTAACTGTGTGAATTGCAGGTTTGTAGTGGATATTGGTGGCCAGCCTATCCACAGAAATAGAAATAGAAGGTGAGGGCAGGGTAGAACTTGGAAGCAACATGGAGCTCACCCATTTCTCCTACCCATTGCTTCATTCAGATTTTCTTCTGTCCTGGTCTGTTATCCATAATCTCTTTACTTACCTACCCTTTTCATCTCTTTCTCTCAGCTCCATCTCCACCTCACCATTAACCTCTCCTCTCTCCATTCCCAACTTCGGCTTCAGCATAAATACCACTTTTTCCTCACTGCTAAAAGCTCTGATCAAGAGTCACTAGACTTAAAATGTTAACTTTGCTTTCTTACTGTAGATGCTACCATACCTGCTGAGTTTCTTCAGCAATTTCTGTTTTTGTTACCATAAGATTTCATCATTGTTTTGCATTAATTTTTTAATTCATAGGCAGGGATAAATCTTTCAGTCTATCTTCTTTTGAATGATGATTAAGTTTTTTTTTGTAAATGGGCTACCATTGTGGTGTGGACCTTCCCCCCAGCAGGCAATTTATAACTAATTTGACATAGTTGTGTGGTTTAACAATGATCTTATACTTCACTGGTGTAGCATACTGAAAAATCAAGCTATTCGTAGAGTTACCGCAAAAGTTAAAGATTTTGAAAACTACACTGAATTCTCCAATATACCTATCACTTAAACCTAGGTTTACAGAAAGAATAGACCAGGATTTTGTACTCAAGAATTACTATTTAGAATCATAGAATGCCTACAGTGTGGAAACAGGCCCTTTGGCCCAACAAGTCTACCCTGAGCATCCCAGCCAGACCCATCTCCCTATAACCCACCTAATCTACGCATCCCTGAACACTATGGGCAGTTTAGCATGGCCAATCCACCTAACCAGCACATCTTTGGACTGTGGGAGGAAACCGGAGCACCCGGAGAAACCCGCAGATGCGGGGAGAATGCGCAAACTCCACACAGACGGTCGCCTGAGGTTGGAACTAACCTGGGTTCCTTGTGCTGTGAGGCGACAGTGCTGACCACTGAGCCACCATGCCGCCTAAGCAATTTTGATCTGAGAAAGTCAAACTATCCAGGCACACCACAAACAAACAAACACATGAATTTGGATCAGGAGTAGGCCATTCAACCGTTTGTTCATGGCTGATTTGATTGTAGACTACCTTGATGACCTCTCACCGCCTTGCTTTTCAAGAATCTCAGTGCCTTTGCCTTCAAAATATTTAAGGACTCTGCTTTTATTACCTTTTCAGGAAGAGAATTCCAACAACTCACCAACATCTAATTGAAACAAAAATTCTATGTTTTAAATGGGGGAGCCCTTATATCGAAAGAGTGACACTTACTTCTAGATTCTCCCATAAGAGAAAGCATCCTTTCTATATCTCCCTGCCAAGCCCCCTCAGATCTTATATGTTATAATCAAGTCATTTCTTTCTCATTTAAACTCCAGTGCATATAAGCCTAGGCTGACCAACTTTTCCTTATAAGACAAACCCTCTTATTCCATGTCTTGTTCCAGCAAAATCTTGCCCATTGAATAAAAAATTTTACTTGGCAACCTTCATAGCTGCTGCTGCCAGGGGTGTAGATCAAGGGTGTTTGATTCACCTGATCAGGCATGGTGGACACATATAAAATGTATGCATGCTCATCATCCTTCATTAGAGTCATTAGAACAGTGAATAGTGAATTTGAACAGTGGCCCAGGCATTCAGTGCTGAAAGGTCATCAGAGGGAAAATTAAATGGCCTTTGTCATTCTAAGATAATGCAATAATCACTCAGAGCCTTGCTTTGACTGTTGGCAGTCATGTTAGATTATAGCCAAAGATCACAAAATGTCATGGAGGAATCCACTTCCTCTTATTGCTAGAAAATGGCAATTAAGAGTCCTGATACTTCAATACTTTGCCGACTAACAATTGTTTTGTTAGTGGAAATATTTTTCAAGTGCTGCAGGGCAGAAATTCTTGTTGGTACTGTTGTGAAAAGAATATTTAACATGCTGAGATCAAATTTCTCTGTTAGTTTAATGGAGGTATTAACATCATCTGCAAATGCTTTCATCCATGTTTCTCTTTCCAGTTTGTTACAATAGTTGGGACCTCTGTTTCATGAGCTCATGCCTGACAGGCTTTCCAATCAGTTGCATTTGTTGGAAAAGTTTATCAATTGTAGAAGTTAAAAGATTACTTTTTGTTATACTTTCTGTGAAAAATATTAACAATAGTATATAATGATACCAGGTGTATGTAGCTCATTACAATTCTTATGAAAACAAAGAAGAACTTGATTGATTGCAGCATTTATTCAGCAAGAAGCTTATTGTTTCAGCCAGATTCTTGTTCCAGAACACTTTCTGAAAATAAATGACTAATAGAATTAGGAGCAGGAGCACCCATGGTCTGCACGCCTGGAAGCAGCAGCTGTGAATGTTGCCAAGTAACATTTTTGTTCAATGGGCAAGATTTTGCTTGAACAGAACCTGGAATGAGAGGGTTTGTTTGGCCACTCAAGCTTGCTCCATTGTTTTGATTACTCCACATTCCTGCCTACTGAAAATAACCTTTCACTCTATTGCTTGTCAAGGATCCAGTTACCTTTCTCTTACAAATATTCAAAGACTCTGGACAAAATCTTCCCAGCCCATGAACACTATGGGCATTGGTCAGAAAGTTGGGATAATAGAGTGAGGTCAGCAGTAATTAGATTCATGGGGCTGAGTCTTACATATTTTTGGCTGAATACAAGTTGTGACAAGTTTTTGGAGGATTTATCACCACAGGGGTGATCAAGTTCTCTCGCTGTATCTACCAAAGGTCATAACACATCTGATTCCAGCCCAATCTTATCAGGTGCCATTCTCAGAATAACTTGCCACTTAAAGGATATGTGGAGAAATACAGGCACCACTTTGGAACTCTGCCATCTTTGAAACACTGCTGTGCAAATCAATTTGATTTGATTTGATTTAATTCATTATTATCACGTGTACTTAGTTAGAGTGAAAAATTTTGTTTTGTGTGCACTACAGGCAGATCATATCATACAAAGTGCATTAGAGTAACAGAACAGAGCAAAGCATACAACGTTACGACTGCAGAGAAGAGCGAGATCAACATTTCAATGTAAAATTTGAGAGGTCCATCCAGAAGTCTGATAACAGTGCAGAAGAAGCTGTTCTTGAATCCTGTATTGCATCAGGTATTGCCCCTCACTGGCAACATCATGGCACAGTAGTCACAAAGCCACACTCCCAAGGCACACAGCCAACATGTCTGACACTCCCACATGCATGCAACCCCACTCTCCCAATGACTGCACACACCCCCATCCATGGTTGTTGGCATTAGACACGTAATAACCTCACGTCACCCTCACTTCCAGGTGCAGTAGATGGCCGCAGGGTGCAGTGATCATTCAGTGACTATTAACTTGTTCGTTGAAAGGCAAGCAGCACGTGTCGATTCCCTAGAGGCAAGTGCAGTTTCTATTTGTTTGTTTGTTTGTTGTGCACTTTTGCCACAGTTGAATAAATGTGAATGTTTTCAACCATTTGAAGGCTTTCCAATGTGTTCTCCCATTATGAACAATTAAAGGATGTTGGGCTCTTCTTGGCGTTGGGGAGAGAGTAACACTCCCTTAAACAGGGTTGTAAGGTGGGATAAGGCTCAGAATGAGTAACCTGTTTAGTATTTTCTTAAATACCAATTGAACTATGAATGAGCACTTGTTCTGGAATGAAGTGTCAGCAATGCCATTTATGTGCACTGAGAAGCATTTATCATTAGTTCCCCTCTCACTACATGCACAGTTAAGGGCAACTCCTAGCTCGTCGCTCGTAAACAAGTGCAAAGCTGGGTTTTAAAGATAACACCAGTTCCAGGAATCCTTGAAGGTCCCAGCATTGACAATCACTTCTACCTGCTGTGAGAGGGAAGATACGACAAGCAGGGCGACATTGTGGTGCGGTGCACAGGCAAAAAGGTGAGTTTTGTAAAACAATGTGAGAAATCTCACTTGGCCTCACAGGGGTAAACTCTTCACAAAACTCAAAAGTAGCATTTCGCTGATTTCTGGAAAAATATAGCCCTCTGTTCCCACTGCCTTTTGAGGAACAGAGTTCCAAAGACATTCTCCCTTTGTGAGGAAAAAAAAGTACCAATTTAATTTTCATGGTTTGCAAAACAGAAGGTTTGCTTGTTATTGTTAAAGATCCCCTGTACAAAATCATTATTTCTTTTTGAATATTTTAAATTAACCAAAGTTGCTCGATATAATTGTTCACAAAATGGAAATCTATGTTAAAATAACAGTATTGGCACAACCATTATGAGCTGAAAGTAAATGATTGATTTATTTTTTAATATGGTGAAGTCACAATTGTTTGGCATAGTGGAGATTTCAAACATAATGAGTGTTAATTGTGGCCTACAAAATTAGTAAGGATTACGAAGGATTAAAGTTAATTAGGATTTTTATATTTGATTTCGTGTGTCTAAGTCTTTGCTAGAAATATATGATTATTATAGATAAATAATTTGGAAGTCAAAAGAAGTATAGCATTCACATTATTCACAAAGGGCATTATTAAGTGATTATTTATGAAGGAAAACAATCTCAGCAAAGTAATTTCAATTTTGAAGTTTTTAAATGATATAAAACTTGGAAATGTAATAAATACTGAATAAGATAATAGGTGTCTAATAGGAGAATATAGTCAAATTGGGGAGACAATAGTTTATGACGTTCAACATGGATTAGTATGAGACATTGTATTTAGGGGAAAAAAATGAGGCTGGATTCAACAATCCCCTCTGGTGGATTTCAAGGTCCACCCATCCACCTCTGGCCGCATTATAATTATAGCAGCAGCAGAATGGCATCATTGAGTCAGATTGCTTATCATCGATTTAGGGTCTAAACTGGTTACCGCATGATTTTTTTCCCTGATTGGAGGGTGTGGGGGAGGTCAGGTGGCAAATAAGGTAGTCCATGGAGACAAAGCACCAATATAATTTAAGTGGTACTCTATGTGTGGGACATTGGGATAAGGTGGTGACGTGACGACAAGGGCAGAGAAGCCAGGAAATTGTGATAAAATCCATTTGTATTATGTCAGCTAGCGACATGTACTTATTGTAACATTTGTGTAACACAGTATTCCACTGCTGGTTGCTACATTCAGTATTGCCTTGAAACAAGGATGGGCTTGTTATGAGATGTTCAACAGATCACTCCAAACACTTCAAGAGCCACTGATCTGTTAGCATTAGTTAGTTGTTCAGAAGCAAAGGAGAAGATTGTTCTTTTCAGATTGCTGCTCAGTCCCATGCTTTAAAGCAGAAGAGACTCCCTACTGAAAGGGTACTTCGATAATAGGCTCAATGCAGTTAAACCTCAGGAAAAGCCCAGTGAGGCAGTAGAACCAGTTGAGAATTGGGTCTAGGGTTCAGAAGAAACTTTGGGAATTGTCCAGAGCAGTTTGGATTTGAAAGAAGCCTTGGGATTGATTGATGGTTGAGTGCTGCTGAGAAGGAGGGTGAAAGCAACTCAGAACTAGTATTTTCTTGGTACAATGAGAAATACCTGAGTTCATAGAAACCCACAAGATATGTTAGCTTCACTAAGCTAGCATATCTGTGAAAGACCGAGAATTCTGTTTGTTAGCAGGCACAGGAGTATAGTCTCAGGGATCCAGTGGAGCACAGTCTTGGGAAGAGACTGAAATATCAAGACAAGAGCTGCCATTGATGCATTTCATTCAGTGTGGTTTTTGAGCAAGTTTCAAACCTATATCTTTGAAATGAAGAATCGGAATCCCTGATTTTAAAAAAAAAACCCTTAATGAGATTTATTTTTCAGTTAGTAAGTCTCTTTCTTGTTTAGATTTTACTGAGAAATCTGCCTTAACCACATTTGTTAGTTGACTTGGTCAGTGAGGTGCTAGACCACTGTTTGTCTGTTAACCATATTTACCTCATGTTAATTTTGGATGTTAAAATATAAAATCTCTCTCTCTCACACACACACACACACACAAACAGCTTTTGTTTTATTTTTCTAACTTTGTATAGCAATGATCTTTTTTCTGTCCAAATTTGTTGAAATCAGTGACCTAATTCTATCAGTGAATAACTAGGATCTCAAATTTTGTCCAGTTCAAACAAAAGGGTTACTGGCACCAACTCAAGTTTGCAGATCTCATCACAAACAAAGTGCCTATTTCGGAATGTTTGATGGTAGTGGAGCTCGCTAAGATGGCTAACAAAACATTCAGATATTTGGCTTTGTAAATTGGGTCATTGAGTACAAAAACAAATTCCAGAGGTCATCCTAAACATTTACAAATCACTGGGTAGATGTCAGCTGGATTATTATGTACTTGAGCATTAAATTTTTGGTGCCTTATTGATAGAACACAAAGAGAGAAACTATTTCCTCTGGCATGTGTGTTGATAACCAGAGATCATAAATTGCAAATAATTAGCCACAGATTTAGAAGGTAAATGAAACTTTTCTTCATGGAATGTCTCAGATATCTGAAACGCACTACCTGAAATGCTGGAGGGATCAAATTAAACAAGATTTTTTAAATATACATTGGACACATACTTGAAGGGGATTTTTTGTAGGGTTACAAGGACAAGTTGAGGGTGTAGGACTAATTTAAACAGTTCTTATAAGGATACAAACACAATGGGTCAAATGGCTTCATTCTAGTCTCTAAGATTGTTGATAAATAACTGAGCCAACAATTAAACTTTCGTGACACTTGTACTAAATGTACCCAATTAGAGGTATTCAATCCACAATTAAATAATGTACATCAAAATACAGCTGTTAATTTGTGTAATGTTCATACAGATGGAAATCATTCTTGGAATTAGATTTACTGTCATATAGTGATGTGGATTTTAACCTTCTAATTGTGTTATTTGATTTCAAATCACTTGATTCTAATTTCTGGTTCGCACTCTAGTGTGTGCAGGTGGTATTATTCATTTAATTGCAGCTATAGCAGCTGCCATTCATTCTGGAATGCATGACCAACAATTAAATAACACATTATAGTTGGAATCAGTTTTCAATTTCTCGTTTGTTTATCAAATGCATGAGTAGTTGAGGCTAGCTGGGAACACTGAATGCAAATCAATTATGCTGATGATACAGATTAAGATGTAAAATCAATACCGGTGTGTAAGGTGCAATTGACAAACACAAGTTGACAGGTTAAATAATAAATGGAGAACGAGAGGCTTTCAAAACAGAAAGTAATTTGTGTATAGCATTGACACATTCCCAAGAGAGGGAAAGGAAGCACATTCAAAGTCACAGTTCCCTGAATGACTAAATGATAGAGATTAAGGAGAGGCAGAAAAAGGAAGATTATGACAACTGTAAGATTTATAATAATGTCAAGAAACAAGCTAAATATAGAAACTCGTCATGAAATAATTTTATTTGTAATCATTTGTGCTTTCAGCATTCTGAGCTAGCAAATTTAGAGAGGAGGTTAGCTAGAGAATTATAACATTAGGGGAACATACAATGACTGATACGTTCAATACTGTAAATGAACAAGGAAGGAACTTGTTGAGAAGTTTTCAAAATGTCACTCAGAACAGTTCATATGTTACTGAACAGTCAGTTTTAATCAATTAATTGGTGGTAGAGGAAGCAGAAGATTGCTACCTTGGGACTGCTTAAGGAGAGGCAGTGACAGGGTAATAATGATAATAGACTAGCAATCTGACACCTCTGATTAAAGTTTGGAAAACATGGGTTTGAATCCCACCACGAGAGATGTTGAAATTTGAATTCAATTAAAGCTGGAATAAAATTCCAGCCTAATGACTTCCATGTATCCATTGTCATTAAAAAAAAAACAACCACTTCACTAATGCCCTTTGATGGAAATCTATTATCTTTATTTGGCTGGCCTACATGTGACTCCAGACCAACAACAATACGGTTAACTGTGAATTGCCTTCTCAGCGTGACCTCATCTGGATAATTGGGGATGGGCAATAAATGTCAGCCTTGCCAGTGATGCCGTCATTTCAAATAAAAAATTCAGTCAGTTTCATAGGAAAAGGGAGGAGAGGTCCCGTTCATAAGAGGATGCTATTGTAGTGGGCACTGAGCTGTTACAACTCAGAGACATCCTATGAACAACTAGGAAGAGGTAAATGTTGGGGTTACGGCTCACAAGAAGTCCAGGGAGCCGTAGCGCTCTAAAGAGATCTGTGCTCACTTAATCGGGTAATGTTTCTGAGAGTGGAGGAATGCAGGAAATCCACAAGCAGTATTTGCTTGCTGCAACTGAGAAGGATTGGATCCTAGGATAACCCAGAGGCAGTGCTAGCTTAATGAGGCAAGTTGATTGTGAAAAAGCTGCTATAGTGCCTGTGAGCGAGTGCTGGAGTGCAGCACACAGAATCCAAAGAAGTGCATTACCAGTAAGGGTTAGTAAACAGCCAGAATATCAGCAGTGGTCGAGGAATTCCATGATGGAGTGACTTTTGATGGCATTCTAAAACCCGACCTTCAATGGTAAAGAGTTGGCAATCACATTTGTATTGTCTCTGCAAGTTTCCTGCAAGAGGTGCTGACTGAGTAGTTCTTTCCTCACCACATCCTTGAATCCATTAACAGTGAATTTCCTGCAATATTGCTTTTGCTTATTGTTACCCAAGCTGATGGAGATCGTTGACTGGATCAATGGTGGTCGATCCAGCAGAGGGGATAGAAAATGCCTTTGAAGGAGGGATGGCCAGCGCACACCTACTGCCACATGGTCCTGTTAGAGCAAGATCTTTGTCTAATGGCAAGGATAGCCAACACCTATGGAAATTAAGCTCTTCTGGACTTAAAAGAATTAATACACACATGTTTCTCTGAACTTCCCCCATCATAGGAGCCTACAGTCCTGCTTGCTTGTAGGGGCAATTTATTGCAGCAGAGATGGTGCTCCATATTGATCAGTCCCTGTGACCAGCAAAGGTTCATTGCTGCAACAGTAGAAGTCTGCATTCTTCACAAATGGCCAGTCACTGTCTGCCTATTTGAATTGTTGGCATCATAGTCTATAGCCAATATCTGGAGAAATATGAACAACCGATACAACGGATAACCTGAACAAAAAACACTCAAAACCACTTGTAAAATGGATTATCAACAAATAAAATAACAGACCAGCTGTCTCTTCTTCCCCTTGCATGACAGATAAAAGTGACATTGAAACTCTGTCATGAATGAAACATTAACCTTTTATCATCCTGTGATGACTTCCTATCCCAAAGTCAAAACATGAAAAACAAAGCAAAGGATGCTCATTGATCGAACACATCACTTCGGTTGGAAAAGGATTCTGAGCCTGTAACAAGATCATGTAGGTGAGACAACCATGTTAGGAGGTGACTTTAAAACAAAAATAAGCAGCTCTGCAGGAATAGAGAGATCATTATAAATTCATTTAAATAAATGGAGTCAACTAAAAGTCAAAATAGCAACTAAAAAACAACTAAAAATAACAATATATTGAATGTGAGAGAACGGTTGTCTCCAAGTTGTCTTAATTTCAATTTAATGTAAGAGCTAACTACCACTGCTTCACAGTTTACTGAGAAGCTTCTTGCTTTTCAAGATCTTTACTTCTGTCAAAGCATCAACTCATCTGAAAAACTAAAGGCAATCTACAAAGGAATGAAATTGTCTCATATCATCATGATGTTTTCCCTCCTCCATATCTAAACTTAATGAGTGTGAGTGAGATGACACTTTTTAAACTGCTGGAGACAAATGTGGGATAAAGCCTTCATTGTTTTAAAACACACATAAAGCTTACTGCTGGAATAATTAAATTGGGGCAACGCCTTTGAGGGTGAGAAAACCACAGAGCTCATGCACAAAACACATTGAGTATGGTCAGTAAGCAAACACAAATTCTGTCCATGGCACACCAATTCAATGTACAGAATTTTTGGAAGAATCTATGAATGGAGCAAATAAGACTGGAGATATCTTTCTCATTAGTTGGAACAGGTTTAAATGAAATAATCAAAAGATCAAAATCCAAAAATGTGCAGGCTAGGTGGATTGGCTCAGTGTTGAGGGATGTGTAGATTGGGTGGGTTATAAGGGGATGGGTCTGGGTGGGATGCCCTGAGAGTTGGTGTGGACTTGTGGGGCTGAAGGGCCTGTTTCCACACTATAGGGATTCTATGATTTTCCCTCAAACTATTAATGGTCTGGCAGATAGGAAGACTACATTTTTTTATTTGTTTATGGGATGTGGATATCACTTGCAAGACCGACAATTTTTGTCATGATAGCCTTTGAGAAAGTAATGGTGACCCATCTTCATGAATGTTTGAGCTCTGAAATACTCTCTCAGCAGTCTACCAGTGGGACTCATAATTATATTATCGGAGATAAGGAGGGGAATTCTTTGGCACATCGAATTAATAAGTATCTCCTGAATAATCAAGTATCCTTACAAACTAAATTCTGTGAAAATATAATTGTTTTTGTGTAGTTTGAGGTCACCTTTGGATTTCCTTTGTAACCATAAAATAGATCTGAATCAAAATAGTTTTTAAGTGCATTTTTCATCCCTTTCCCAACTCTAAAAAAGTAATAGAATCTCAGATGTTCAGATGTAAGGGAGACACGGAGGCTCAGTGGTTAGCACTGCTGCCTCACAGCACCAGGGGCCCAAGTTCGATTCCATCCTCGGGCGACTGTCTGTGTGGAGTTTGCACATTCTCCCCGTGTCTGCGTGGGTGTGCTCCGGTTTCCTCCCACAGTCCAAAGATGTGCAGGCTAGGCGGATTGGCCATGCTAAATTGCCTGTACTGTTCAGGCATGTGTAGATTAGGTGGGTTATAGGGGGATGGGTCTGGGTGGGATGCTCTAATGGTTTGTGTGGACTTGTTGGGCTGAAGGGCCTGTTTCCCCACTGTAGGGATTCTAAGATTGTAAATATAATTGAAATAGGCTATTGCAGTTTGAGGCTCATTGTTATAGCTGCAGTCATGGGTAATTTCTAATATTTCTCACATCTCAGATTGAATTATTTCTTTCATGGTCACTGTCTGTCCTGTGGCTCCATAGCAGCTAATCTGAATGTAGATCTAACACAGTTGAGGAAATGTACAACTACCAATCAAGGTCTGGGCTCATCTCATCTTGGGTTGACCTGTGAGGGAGGGGGCTGGATCACCCACTGATGTTAGGGTTTTTAACTTGAAAGAACATTGCCATGGATCCATTTTTTAAATAGGACACAGATCTGCCAGCTCCGTATTCCTGGCCATCTTAAAACATTGCCCTCTCTGTGTGTTTGACCTCCCTGCTACAAACATTGTTGGACAACTCATTGACAGTGACACTTTTGGGTACAGAGGTTGTGAAACACCACAAAGGTTGCTGAAGGTGTTAGCATGATCCAATATTGTGTATACACATTTGTTCCTTTTACTTCCAAAATGATGCAACAAACTCTCAGAACAGACTTCCACGAAATCCTGAGAGACAAATGACCAGATTTATAGCTAAAGCAAACAAAATATATATAAGTGTCAGAATCATTCACAAGCACTGCCACTCATGCCACCAAAGAACTCTCAATCGGTCTTCTCTTCTCCCTCCCAAATGTTTTAGTGTAGTCCTTGGGTCAGCAGCTGAACTGGAGGGAACCTGCTCAGTAATGGAGACTGTTGGCATGAGACGTTTGGCTGGGAGTCCCTGGGAGTGTTTTTAGTGGGAGGGCCAGCCATAGCGAAGACCTCCTACTCAAAGGCAGGTTGACCTTCCTCACTGTGAGCATCCAAAGTCAGAGGGGCGCGGGCAGGGTGGCGGTCGAGGGCCCAGCCACCTCAGAGGCATCCTGAATGGAGACTTCTGAGGCAGTTTTATGTGGTTCTTCTCCAGCTGAATACATCCTGGCATTGCATTGCATCCTTGTGAGGAAGGGGCACCTGGAGTGTGCACCAGATTCTCTGCCCCCATTGGCTTAGGTGATAGAGTGGGCAAGTGTGTGCATCTCTCCAGCAGCCCTTGAGTGCATTGGATCTGACTCTTTGTGTCAGCTGCCAACCTTTCTATGGAAGTAGACAAGCAGTAACATGATTCTCTGCATTGCTGCAGCTCTGGACAATGAAGGCCCATTACGCCTCACATACTTTCTGATGGATCCTATTCCTGCCTGTGCATTTTGATTAAGTCTTTGTTTGCTGACACTGCATGATCCTCTCCTGACTGATGCTGAGCAGGTGACTGCTCTACAATAGTCCTTTGAGTACCAGAGGCTTCAGGGCTATTTCTTCCTCAGCAAACTCTGGAGCTGTCATCATGACAGCTTACCAGCTTGTGCTCCTACATTCTCAAAGTCTAATGTACGCATTGAGGTCTCAGTATCTGAGCTGGGGGGGGTTGCAGGAAGAAACTTTGCAAATGCTTTCTCAGAAGTGCAGGAGATGCCCTCTGGGAGAGCCAGGCACTCTCCACAGAAGTTATGGATGTGCTGGTGATGTCTGTAAGTTGCAATCAAAAAAAGAGATCTGGCCAGTGGTTAGAAGTAGTGAGCGATGAATGAGACTGACAATGGGATATTGCTGTCCTTGGAGCAGGCTGCCAGGCTCTGGTGTTATGGCCTCCTCTGCTGGTCTACAGGGAAGAGGACTTCTTTCCTTTACACCGCCCCTTGACCAGGACATTAAGGTTCCTGTTGGAGAATTGCAGTGTCTTCGCCAAGTTCAGATTTTGCCCATCAAAGATCAGGGCAGCTTTAGAGTGCCAGTGCTCATTCAGCAGCATAATGACATTTTAAAAATGACACTGACCCAAGAGATGCCTTTTTGTTTTGGCAGGTATCTGCAGAGTGGAGAGTTGCATTGGTGATGGCACATGATGGGACCAGGATTAATCATGAGAGACATCATTGGGGTGAGTGAGGTAACTACTATGATGACCTTGTTGAGATATGGTGAAAGAACTTGCTAGGTCTCACTGTGAAAAACCCTCCAAAAAACTCAACGTAACTCAGACTTAGTCAAAAACTGTACGATTCCACCCATTGTAAAGTATCTAGTTGCAATATCTTCCAGGAGCATGTCACATTAACACTAATTTTCTAAAACAATATGCATCAACATCTAACTATCATCCCTTAATGTTCAATGGCATCACCATCACTGAATTCCCTATTATCAACATCCCGAGGGTTACCATCAACCAGAAACTAAGCTGCAGGCATAAAAATGTTCGTTTTCTGTGGCTACGAAAACAGGTAAAAAGCAGACAATTTAGGGTTAAGAAATCCTCTTCTGTCTCTCCACTGAATGACCATCATCGACACGGCACATGTCTGGAACATGATAGAATGCTCTCCACTTGCCTGGTTGGGTTCAGTAACATTTGTGAAACATGGCAACATCTATGACAAAGCTTAGTTGATACTCCATCGACTACCTTCAACATTCATTCCTTCACCAGAGGTACAGTAGTAGTAGTGTGTAATATCTAGAAGATATACTGCACTAACTTACCAAGGCTACTGCAATAGCAACTTTCAAACCCATGGCATGTAACACCTAGAAAAGCAAGGACAGTGATTATGTGGGAATTCCACTTCCTGCAAGTTTCACCTAAGCCACACATTATTTTAACTTGGGAATATATCGCCTCTTCTTCACTGTTTTGGATCAAACTTATGAAATTTTATTTAATAGTGAAATCTATTTTAAAAAAAAACTTATTCTTTTCAAACTCAGCTTGATTTCTGGGTTCTGTCTGTAGTGAACACTGGTTAAGGTAGCACGAAGGGTGCAAACCAAAGAATGGTAGTTGGGAGGTATGATTTGGCACTAAGTTGACATAGGAACTGTAAGGGTCATGGTTGACATAAAGTACATGGAGGCCATGGTGGTGGATACAGGGGCATAGATTGGCATAGATAGGGAAAGTGGATTAGATGGGGTCTGTGAAGTATATAAGATGTGAGGACTAGGGGGCCAATTGCTATGATTGCAACTGCTATGAAGTCCGAGAAACCAAGGTAAGCCTTTCAAAGATCCAATGTGGCATGCAGTCTCCATAGATAATAGATCAAACTCGCACACACAACTTCAACCCGGAACAAAAATACAGCCATTTAAGGCTATTTCACCTGAGGTGGCTGTGCCAAGCTGGGAAAACTCTTGACTTTGTGGACCCATTTCAGGAGAGAAAATGCAGGCCTCTATGTTACAATTCTTATCAAAGTCCTAAATTTCAAAGCTTCCTTGATTTCCTTTACATATCTAAATATTCCATTTTTAAATTCTTTTGTTGTCCTTTTATGTCAGTTTTCACATAAATTAAGAATACACCCAGATGAAATTTACAGGGAAAATGATACATACCCCATGATTAAACATTATATGTAAAACCGATGGAGAGTAATATACTTCCATCATTCAAATTGTTGTATCAGAGCAGTTGGATTAATAGATATTTGAGAGAACAATTTTGAAAATGGAATCGACACAGTTAAATTATACAAGTCTGTTGATTAAAATTTGAATTCAAAATGACTTGATGTCAGAAAAATTGTCATAAAATAGTATTTTGATAAACACGATTGATCTGATAGATCTATGTTGCTGTCATATCCATAACTAATGCTGAATTAATTACAAATAAATTATGTATAAAATAAATTAAGCACACAGTCATGCAAAGACATGAGTTACACAAATTGAATTCAAATGATGGTTTCAGCTTCAAGCCAGATGACACATGTTAAAATTATGATGTGTTCAGAATTACTGAAAACTCAGGCTTGGATTAAAAAGTCAGTTAGCCTTCATGTTAATGACTTTTTTCATTTAATTGGTTCACATCAGCAATGCAGAAAGCCAATTTTCAGAAAGCAAAAACACCTGACAAAGCAATATTCTCTTTGGAAGTTATTTAAAATTGCAAAATGATCCATTAATGCAAGCAATAATATATCAAACTCTCAGCATATTGCTCAGCACTCAAGTTGCCTTAGTATTCTTAGAAGATTTTTGATGTTTTCACTGGGAACCAATAAATAGCACACAGGCATGGAGGTGAAGTTAACTATTGAAGTCAAAAGATAAATATCTAATCTTGAAATCGCATGCCTACATTGTCCAAAAATATTTACTGTCATCACAGTTACAAAATAATTCCTTCTAAGTTTGACTTTATTGCTGTGATTCCATTGTTAGAATTAAGAGCAACATATGCAAAATGAATGTGCACATATGTATAAGAATAAAAAAAATTACCTTGAACATGTCAATGCCATATGTATGCTTAGAGGGACATTTTGTTTATCTGTAAATATACCAGAGTTTTTAAAATGAAATAAAATATGCATGAGCATCAAAATTGTGCTAAAATAGGGTATTAGCTAACAAAATTGACAATCCATCTTGCTCAGATTTAGAATTGCGTTTACTGCCTTTTACTTGATAAATGCATGTTAATAGTATCTTGTCTTTAATGGTTCAAAATGATTCTCTCCATGAGCAATAAATGATGGCATCAGCACAATGGAGAGGGTTGACCTAAATTTAGGAAATCGGCATGTCGAAGTGGTTTAGGCTTAGATGAGAAATGTCAAAAGCAAGAAGTAGTCTGTGGGAGTTGTGTCTAAGCCCCCTAATAGTGGTAGAAAGGAACATAAAGAAAGAAATGTAGAAGAAGAGGTCATAAAATATTTTTAGAATAGAATTTTAGAGCAACATGTTATGGAGATGACCAGACAGTAGGCTATACTAGACCAATACTGTGCAGTAAGTTATGATTAATGACCATATAGTGTAGGTGTCCTTAGGTCATTGTGATTGTAATATAATCAAATTTTCCATTCAGTTTAAGCGAGAGAGGAATGAGTCCGAGATTAGTATTTTAGATATAAACAAAGGGTAATTAGTGGGGACTTGAAAGTAGACCTCGCTAGTGTGAACTGACTGATTTAGTTAAGGCATAGATTAAGAGATGTAGCCACAGACCTCCAAGAGGGTGTTTCAGAATATACAGAATATTTACATTTCAGCAAGGAAGAAAAATTCCAATGGGATACCACCATCCATAATTAAGTAAAAATGTTAAAGATAGTATCAAAGATAAAGAAAACATATATAATGTTACAAAGATGGATGGTTGGTCAAGAATATAAAAACAGCAAAAGTTTAATTAGAGGAGTAAAACTAGAATATGAGAGAAATCTAACTAGAAATATTGGCCTTAATTTTCTGATGGCCAGATAATAGCTTCTGAAGTTTAGGTGGAAGTTGTGCATGGGAACCTGTAGAATTTCTAGTGTAACAGACTCCAATGGAATTGCCTGCAAAATTGAGGATTCCTCTGAGCAATTGCCCTACACCTGGAACCTCTAAAATTATCCATTTAAATGAGAAAATTCAGGGGATTCTGCAGAAGATAAGTAAATATTTACTCAGGAGAAGTTAGACTTCTAAATGCTAAGTCTAACTCCTGAGTAAATATTCAAGTCACCCCAAGTTTACTACATGCAACCACAATACACATCCACTAGACACCTTACACTCTTCTAGACCCTGACTTGATATATTCTGACCTCCATGGGACGCATCACATTCCCACAACCATACCCAATACCCCTCTCTACCTCAAGGAATCTACACCATTTGCCCCCTGACCCAAAAGTACCCTGCACCTCACAGCCAAACCTAACTTGCACTCTCTCATTGCTGGACCCTACCTCTCCTTCCTTGTGTTGAACAAGCCCAGCCTCCACCCCACCATGCTGGTACCCAACATCTGCTTCTCCCGCCCTTGGACCTAGGCCCTCCTGGGATGCAAAAGCCTCTTCCTTCTGACCCAAAGCTACACTCTGCTGTTGCATCCCAGTATTCAACCTGCCTTCCTCTATTTAGGTTCACGAGAATGGCCCCAGGAATGGAAAGCTTAACATATGAGGAATGTTTGAGGACTCTGGGACTATACTCATTGGAATTTTGAAGGATGAGGGGGTATCCAATTGAAACTTTCAGAATACTGAATGGCCTGGACAAAGTGGATGTTGGGAAGATGCTTCCATTGGTAGGAGAGTCTAGGACCCAAGGGCACAACCTTAGAGTAAAGGGAAGACCTTTTAGAACAGAGATAAGGAGAAACTTCTTCAGCCAGAGAATGGTGAATCTATGGAATTCACTGCCACAGAAGGCTGTGGAGGCCAGGTCATTGAGTACATTTAAGACTGAGATAGATAGGTTCTTGATTATCAAGGGGATCAAGGGTTACAGGGAGAAAGCAGGAAAATGGGGTTGAGGAAATATTCAGCCATGATTAAATGGTGGAACAGACTCGATGGGCCGAATGACCTAATTTCTGCTCCTATGTCTTATGGTCTTATGATCTTATTGCCCAATCTGGTCTCTCCCTCCCCTTCCACAGGACTTGACATCCACCATCACCCCTCACCCCCAAACTCACCCAGGACCTGACATTCCACTCACCCTCAAAAGAAACCAACACTCCTTTTCCTTCCAAACCTGACACTTCCTCCCCAACACCACACATCTGCCAGTGGAACCCGATATATTCTGCTCTCCCTGACATACCCTAGACACCAACTAGCATCTGCCATCTATTTACCTGGCACCGTACCCACACCAATCTACCCTTTATCCAATTGACACTCTACCCACCTGGCACCCTATTTGGCAACCTCTACTTACCCGGTATCTAACTGGCACTTTAGCACCTGACGTTGTGCCCCTATCGACTTGGCACCTTAGTTATATGGCTCCCTATGGCCCTACCCATATATCACCCTACCCCATTGACACCCTAACCTCACACTTACCTTATTTATTTACCCTTTTACAGGATATGCCTCTGATGCTGCAGAAAAAAGAAAATAATTTGCCTACCCCTGACTATTCTGCATTTCAAGGGACCTGTTCAAATGCAAGTACAGCTCTACATTTCTGAAGAAGCCTGATTGGAATCTCCTGTCAGAAATAAAGTGCTCTTTTGTTTCTTAAAAAAAAGTATGGAATAGTAATCTGTGTGCATTGTCACTCCTCAAAAAATCTGGCTCATAAAAAACGTGGCTAGAGTTTCTTTAGATATTTATAAAAAGTTGACAAAGTGAATGTTAATCCTATAGGAAGTGAGTATAGGGAATTAAAAAGATAAGGGGAGGCAATAGTGTAACAGGTATATCAATAGATTCAGTAATGTTAATATTACCAAGACATGTTCAAATCCCACAATGTCAGATAGTAATATTCAAATTCAATAAAATCTGGGGGAAAGGCTAGCCAATGATTATTGTTGTTTTAAAAACCCATCCAGATCACTAATTCCATTTAGGTAAGGATTTGTTTTTATTCATTCACAGGATGACGGCATCAATTGTTAGACCAGCATTTATTACCCATCTCTAAATGCCCAGAGGGTATTTAAGAGTCAACCGTATCGCTATGGGGCTGAAGTAATATTGTGTAGGCCAGACCAAATAAGGATGGCAGTTTTGTTCCCTAAAGGGCATTAGTAAATCAAATAGGTTTTTCCGCAACAAATTCATAGTCATAATTATATCCTTGATTCTATATTTGTAGTGAATTCAAATGCCGTAGTAGTATTTGAATCCAGGTCCCCAGAACACAACCCGAGGTCTCTAGATTAACAGATTAATAATACCACTAGACCAATCTGTCATCATTATCTGGGATCAGCATTCCCCTCTGGGCAATTAGGGTTGGACAATAAATGCTGGTCAAACCAATGGTGACCACATCTCATGAATGAAAAAAATGAAGAGGTACGAAATGAATTAGGTACAGAATTTGTCTTTACGGAGAATAAAGGAAACATTTCAGAAATAGCTAGATATCAGGAAATGGAGGGAAAGGAGCTACTCAAAAAATGCAATCACCAGGGAGATAGCACTGAGCTACACCTAGATGGTTGATGTGTTCGTTGATTTTGGTTTTCCAAAATTCCCTAGATCTCAGGATGATTCCATTGGATAAATGAGGATGTATTGTACTTAGATTTTCAAAAGGCATTTGATAAAGGTTATTGTGGAAATTAAAAGCTACTGGGGCAGGGAGTAATATATTGGGTTGGATAGAGGACTGGTTAATTAACAGGAAACAGAGTAGTTACAAATAGGTCATTTTCTGGTGAGCAAGAAATGAAAGGTTGGGTGCCACGTGGTCCTCTCATTCCAGAGATATGGTTGCTAAATTTGATCATAGTACAATGATGAATAGGGAAGTAAGGTGTGAAGTCAAAATAAGGAGGATACAAAGGAGTACGGATACATCAATAAGTGGGTAAAGATCTGTCTACCTTAGCTGGAAGTATATCAGAGAAGCATATTTTCTAAATGATGACAGTTGCGGGGCTCTGTGATGTGGAGGGTTCTGGATGCATGAAATGCCAACTTCTAGTTTCAATTCCAAAAGTAATTGGGAAAATTAATATAATGTTGTTGTTTATGGCAAGGGGAATTGAATACAAAAGTTTTTTTTTAAGATATATAGTTGATCCATGAGGTCACATCTGGACTACAGTGTACAGAATTGGTCTCTTTATTTGAAAGGAGGTTAAAAATGCTTTGGAAGCAGTTAATAGAATGTTCGCTATACTAATACCTGGAATGGGCGGTTTGTAATATGAGGAAGGATTGGATGGGCCAGGTTCCTATCTGCTAAAGTTTATAAAATGAAGAGATGAGATTTTTGAAACATATAAAATCTTGAATTGTCTTAATAAAATGGATGTGAAAAGGATGATTCTCTCGTGAGAAAAGCTAGAGCTAGGCATTTCTTCAAAAAAGGTGTTGCATATTTAAAACAGATAAGGATATTTTTTCTCTTGGAGACGGTTATAAGTCTTTAGAATTCTTTTACTCAAAATGGGTGGAAACAGAGGTAGATAGATTCTTAATAAGAAAGTGGGCGAAAGGTTTTCAGAGAGAAGGGGCATGTAGAGTAATCAGATCAGCCGTGAACTCAAGGGGCCTACTTCTGCTCCTAGTCTGCATGTTCATACTTTAATAGCCTGTGAATGGTAGAACAATGGAACGCAATTGTTTGTACTGAGGATACATTCAATCAATTCAATCATTATGGAAAAGTAAACTAAATATCAGTTGTAAAAAATGAAAGAACTGCAGATGCTGTAAATCAGGAACAAAAACAGAAGTTTCTGGAAAAGCTCAGCAGGTCTGGCAGCATCTGTGAAGAAAAAAATCAGAGTTAACGTTTCTGGTCCAGTAACCCTTCCCCAGAACTGATGATAGCTTGGGTAAACGTCGGTTTATATGCAGAAAATAGGGATCGATTAGGGTAGCGAGTAAACAATAGAATTGAGCCCAAAGAGAGAGAAGAGCAGTTGGATAGACAAAGGAGTTGATAATGATCTGGCTAGGAGGCTGAATAGCTGTTAATGGAGACTGTTAGTGACTAACAATAGGTAGTGTGTAATGGCAGGCTATGTGATAACAAGGCCTGGTGTGTGGGGTAGGGAACTAGGACATGGGAGAGTTTAGGCCCTAAAATTGTTGAACTCGATATTGAGCCCAGGGGGCTGCAGGGTCCCCAAGTGGAAAACGAGCTGTTGTTCTTCCAGCTTGCGTTGAGCTTCGCTGGAACACTGCAACAAGCCAGAGACAGAGATATTGGCCAGAGAACAGGATGGTGTGTTAAAGTGGCAGGCAACAGGTAGCTCAAGGTCTGTTTTGTAAGCAGAATGTAGCGGTTCTGCAAAGCGGTCACCCAGTCTATGCTTTGTTTCCCCAGTGTACAGGAGACTACATTATGATGGGGAGAAGTAAAATCCCACTGACAAGCTGGGAGTAGCTATGGAACTTGTAATGTTACATTTTAACCAGAAGCATCGCATTGCATAGAAGCATTTTGGGAGATATATTTTGTTGTTCTACTAAGTGAAAGTTAAACTTAGATTTTTCTTTTTTTAGGTGCTTTAGCTTCATGTTAGTTAATGTAAATGCTGATTTTAACTTCTCATTGTTGGAGTAAAATTGTAAGAATTAAATCCTGTCCACTGCTTTATTTCTGTTGGACATCTAGAAAATTGTTCTTTTAAAAAGTTATCAAACAGAAATTGTAAAATTTTAGGTAACAAGATACTGGTCAGCAAGGGAACTGTTATTGGACTGGCCTCTTTGGAAGAACAGTATAACCATGGGTGAAATTTTATGGGCTCCCATGGTGTCAGTCATTTCCCAGCATTTGCAACAATCTCCAGCCAAAAGTACCAAGTGGATGATCCACCTGGTCATCCTCCAATGATCCCCAGCATCACAGATGCAAGTCTTCAGCTAACTGAAGGAGGGAGGCACAAAGACTGTGGGCCCTGACAACATTCTGGCAATAGTACTGAAGATTTTGTATTCCAGATCTTGCCAGACCCCTAGCCAAGTTCTTCCAGTACAGTTATAACACTTGCATCAACCTAACAGTGTGGAAAATTTCACTGGTATGTCCTGTATACAAAAGGCAGGACAAGTCCAACTTAGCCAATTACAGGTCCCTCAGTCTACTCTTGATCATCAGCAAAGTGATGGAAGGTGTCATCAACGGTGCTGTCAAGCAGCAATTACTTAGCAACTGCTCACTGATGCTCAGTTTGGGTTCCACTCGGGCCACTCAGGAGCTGACCTCTTTACAGCCTTGGTTCAAATATGGACAAAAGAGCCGAATTTCAGAGGTGAGGTGAGAGTGATAGCCCTTAACATCAAAGCTCCACTTGACCGAGTGTGGCTTCAGGGAGCCCTAGCAAAACTGGAATCAATGGGTATCAGAGGCAAACTGTTCATTGGTTGGAGTCATACCTAGCAAATAGGAAGATAGTAATGGTTGTTAGAAGTCCGTCAGCTCAGCTCCAAGATATCTTTGCAGCTGTACCTTAGGGTAGTGTACAAGAAGCAACCATCTTCGGTTGCTTCATCAATGACCTTCCTTCCATCAAAAAGTCAGAAGTGGGGATGGTTATATGCTGATTATTGCACAATGTTTGGCATTGCTCACTGCTCCTCAAATACTGAAGCAGTCTATGTTCAAATGCAACAAGATTTGGACAATATTCAAGTTTGGGCTGAAAAGTGACAAGTAACAATCATGCCATACAAATACCAGGCAATGACCATCTCTAACAAGAGAGAATCTAACAATCATGTCTTGACATTTAATAACATTACCACCACTAAATTCTCCATTATCAGCATCCTGGAGGTTACCATTGACCAAAAATTGAACTGGACCAGCCCTATAAATATAGTGGCTGAAAGAAGAGGACAGAGGCTAGGTGTACTACAGTGAGTAACTCACCTCCTGACTCCCCAATGCCTGTCCACTCAAGTCAAGTCACCATAGTCTTACCAGGCCATATGGCTGCTTTTTCAGTAGACACATAAAGATGACTGATGGTGATTTAACCGGAGTCCCACCATACCTCAGGTAAGGGGATGACACTGAGAAGGACAGTTTTTCATGGTAACCTCAGTCAGTGTGGGAATTGAACCTATTGCTATTGGTATCACATTGCTTTGTAAGCTAACTGTCCAGCTAATTGAGCAAAACTGACTCCTACCTAGCCATTATCTACAAGGCAAAATTAAAGAATGTGATGGAATAGTCCCCACTTGCCTGGACAAGTGAAACTCTAACAACACTCTAGAAACTTGACACTATCTGGCACAAAGAAGCCTGAATTTAAAAATGTTTGGTACCATATCCACAAATATTCACTCCCTTAACTACTGATGCACAGTAGCAGCAATGTGTACCACCTATATGATGCATTGCAGAATTTCATAAAGGCTGCTTAGTCAGCACACAACCCCAACTATTTCCACCAGGAAGAATAAGGGCAGCAGATACATGGGAGCACCACCGCCTGCAATTCTCCTTCTAAGCCTCTTATCGTCCTGACTTGAAAATATATTGCCATTCCTTCAGAGTCATTGGGTCAAAATCCTAGAGCTGCCTCCCAAACAGCATTGTTGGTTTACCTG